GCAACACTCAGTGGCTGCCCCATCCCCTGCAGCGAGCTCACTGGTCTCTTGCTGGAGCAAGCACCAGCCGGCCCAGGTTGTAGACACTGAGTTGTGATCCACCTCTGACTCCCTCATCTATAACATAGGGTGGGGAGGAGGTCCCGGCCCCGTCCAGCCTGGCATTCTCTCTGAGGATTTCCTTCCCTTCTCCGTTCACTTGATCCTCTCCCAGGCCTCAATCCTCCCCTCCGGCCTTTCCCCCTTCCTTTTTCTGGTCCGCAACCACCCTCTCTCTCCTTCCGGAAGCCCTGAGACCTGTTACTCCCGGCAATACCACTAGGGGGAGCCCTCACTGGGATGTGGGTACAGGAAGGAAGCCAATTTGGGAAGGCTGGGAGCCAGTCAGTCCCAGACTGGGAGGCTGGAACTAAAACAGAAGGTCGGGGTGCCTGGGGAGCCCTTGCTTCGTAGGTTAACTTCAATCCCTGGGTCAGACACCACGGTGTCTGGTGGGGCTGTCTCGTAGGATGCTCTGATTTATGAAGCATGCAGGGTGGAATTGTCTGTCTTCTACAGTTGGGAGAACTGAGGCTCACGTAGGGTCTCGCAGCCAGCCCAGAGCCGGCCTGCTGATGGCCAAGTCTCCTAACTACTGGGCCTGGCCTCACTCTTCATGTCCTGGCCTGTCCCAGAGCCTCACGTAGGCTGAGCACACCAGAGACCTTCAAGACACTTCCTGGATTGACTCATGGATGGATGGATAGATTGGGGCAGGTGGATGGGTGGCCAGACAGATGAAAGGGTTCATGGATGGGCAGGTGGGTGGATGGACAGATGGATGGACAGATGGATGGGTGGACGGGTGGATGGACAGGTGGGTGGATGTGTAGATGGGTGGGCCCCATGGAGTAGGTCACAGTTTCCCTGGGGTGAGGTTCTCTGCTCTGGGCTGGTCCCCAGGGCACACGGCCAAGTGACACCTCAGTTCCACTCTGCCTTCCCTCTACCCTTGGGCCCTGACATCCATCTCTTACCAAGGCCTGGGCAGGCCTAACAAACTCAGTTCCTTCAACAGACATCTTCTGAGTCCCTGGCTGGGTGAGGACCTGTTCTGGGGCCTGAGACTTTCCTTGCAGTCCCTGTCCTCTTAGCACTGGCAACCCAGGAGGGGAGACGGATAAGGAAGTAAATGCTGCTGGGAGACAGCAGCAAGGGAGGTGGCAATATTGGGGGTGGGGCAGTAGCAGATTCTGGACAAAATTTTGAAGACAAAATAAACAAGATTTGCTGCGGTATTTGGGTGAGTGGTGGGAGAAAGAGAAGCGTGGACAATAACCCGGAGAGTTTCTTCCGGAGCCTCCGTGGAAGATGAAGTTCCCCTATTCTGAGAGGAAGAGGACCAGCAGGTACAGGTACAGGTCCCAGGAGGGGAGGGGCGAATTGCAGGATGAGCACTTCGAGAGGCCCCCTAAATATTCAGGTGCAAACAGGAAAGTAGGATTCCGGGTGTACAGGGTCAGAGAGATTCACGGGAGAGCTAACAGGACAAACCCAACCTCGTCTCCAGGCTGCATTCTTTTCCCGGGCTAGAAAAGTTAAACACTGCTTTCAAAAGCCAGGGCGCAAGAGTGGAATACGGTAACCCTGCGCCCCGCCTGAGCAGGGGCTGGGGGAGGTAGCCAGAGGGGGACGGGCTATCTGGGACCCTGCGGTCCTGCGCACACACATGGAGGGGGCTGCCCAGATTAGGGGCGGATCGAGGTCTGGGTTTCTTCTCCTGGCCGGTCTTGACTGGCTTCCTTGAGCCACCGTCAGATATTTACTTAACCTTGCAGTTCAGCCTCCCGGGGGCCTGCAGGAGGGGACGGAGGCCGAGCAGGGAGGGCTGGCGGGGAAGAGGGCGCAGGGAGGATTTTCCTCCGGGCAGGGTCCCCAGACCTCAGGGCGCAGCAGTCCCTGGCGTTCCTGGTTGTCAGCGTGAGAATCCTGGAGCCTCTGAAAAAAGTCTGCCCCTCTCGATTTAAGAACAAAGAAGTCGAGGGCAGGTGTCTCCTGCGAGCCAGGGGCAGTGCCAAGCTCCCAGTCTCTGGGTCCCGCACTTCCTGGCCATCCAATGAGAACTCGAGGCCCCCTGGTGCCAGGGTAGACGTTGACTTCAATTCTGTGCCAAGGCCACCATATTTACCAGCCTGTGCCGGGGCTCGCGCTTCACCAATCCAAGCCTCAGTTTTCTGTCTGTCTCGTCTTGTGGCTCGACAAATAATTTTTTTTAAAAAATCCCAGTCTCTGGGTCCCGCACTTCCTGGCCATCCAATGAGAACTCGAGGCCCCCTGGTGCCAGGGTAGACGTTGACTTCAATTCTGTGCCAAGGCCACCATATTTACCAGCCTGTGCCGGGGCTCGCGCTTCACCAATCCAAGCCTCAGTTTTCTGTCTGTCTCGTCTTGTGGCTCGACAAATAATTTTTTTTAAAAAAAAAACAGCTGCCAAACGACGCGTGCCAGGGAGCCGGGCAC